TTAGGTGATGGTTTACAACACAACACAGTAACTCTCATTGTCTCTTTCTATATATCATGTCTGTATCTCTACTTTTGTATCTAGACACTGACGACATTAGATCTGGAATGTAATCGAATCGGGGATGTTGGAGCACAGTCTTTAGGTGACGGTTTACAACAGAACACAGTAACTCTCATTGTCCCTTTCTTCAAATCATGTCTTTACCTAGACTTCTTCATCTAGACACTCATCACATTGAATCTCCGATCTAATTCAATCAGAGATGTTGGAGCACAGTCTTTAGGTAAAGGTTTACAACACAACACAGTAACTATCATTATCTCTTTCTCTAAATCATGTCTTTGCTTATACGTCTGCACCTAGGCACTCATCACATTATATCTCGAATCTAACTCAATCGGAGATGTTGGAGCACAGTCTTTAGGTGAAGGTTTACAACACAACACAGTAACTCTCATTATCCCTTTTTCTTGATCATCTCTTTGCTCACACGTCTTCACCTAGTCACTCATCACGTTAGATCTCGCAAGGAATAAAATTAGGGATCTTGGAGCACAATCTTTGGGTTTTGCGTTACAACATAACACAGTAAGTCCCATTCTGTCTTTTCTGTAACGTGTCTTTACCTCCGCGTCTTCGTCTAGAAACTCATCACGCTAAATCTAGGATATAATGAAATCCAAGATATTGGGGCAGAGTCTTTGGGTATTGGATTACGGCACAACACAGTAACGTTCATTGTCTCTTTATGTATACCATGTCTTTACCTGTACTTTTGCATCTAGGCACTCACCAGATTAGATCTATGTGGAGGAGAAATAGGAGATGTTGGAGCAAAAGCTCTGGGTAGTGCATTACAACACAACAGAGTAAGTCTCATTGTACCTTTACCTATACCATGTCTTTATCTACACTCCTTCATCTAGACACTCATCGAATTAGATCTTAATAGAAATAAAATTGGAGATGTTGGAGCACAATCTCTGGGTAGTGGGTTACAATACAATACAGTAGCCTTCATTGTCTCTTTATCTATACCATGTCTTTAACTCCACTTCTTCCTCTAGACACTCACCATGCTAAATATCGATGACAATCGAATCGGTATTGTTGGAGCACAATCTTTAGGCGATAGTTTACAACAGAATACAGTAACTCTCATTCTCTCTTTATATGTGGCATTTCTTTACCTCCACTTCGTAATCTAGTCATTGACGACACTACATCTACAATTTAATAAAATTGGAGATGTTGGAGCACGATCTTTATGTGAAGGTTTACAACACAACACAGTAGCTCTGCTTGTCTCTTTCTTTATATAATGTCATTATATCGAATTTCTCATCTAGACACTCACTACGCTATATCTTTCTGGAAATGGAATCGGAGATATCGTAGCACAATCTTTGCGCGGTTTATTACGACATAACAAAGTATGTCTTATTCTTTTTTCATCTATAGTATGTCGTTAGACTCACTTTTTTCATCTAGACACTCACCAGTGTTACCCTATGGGGTCATGCATAGTGGAATATATGTGATCTATGAATTGGTTGGACGGAATAAAAGAGAAGAAAAATCATGAATGTTAATATTAAATTTATTTAGATGATGAATAAATTGCTGATGATAATGATGTAATTTTTTTTAATTTTTTGATTTTGAAAGAAACAGTAAATAAAGGTACTTTGTTCCAGAGTTAATCTGTATTGTGATGAAAATGTTTGCTCAGTGTTCTTGGTAGTTGATGAGCTGAATGATGTTGTTGTTAAAAATTAAAACCTTTGGGAAAGAATTGAGCGAATGTGTAGAGCGTGTCAAACTAAGCTGCGATTCTGTATAACAGTAGTAAAAGTATAAAAGATTCTTTTCGGTAAGGTTGATCCAGATAAGGTTTTTTATGATAGTAGTAGAAGTCTGAAAGACCGTTGTGGGTGAGTGGTAGGTGATAGATGGTTTTCTGTGATAATAACAAAAGTATGCGACGTCCTCGCCATTAGTGTTGGAGCGAAAGGTCTCGTCGGATTATATTGAATCAGCGGGACTCAAGAAAGTGAGAATGTTCACGCAGCAGTAATTGAAAATTATTAGATTTTATCAGCGAAGAGATGGATATGTTATACATTATGAATTGTAGATACACTTTGCGTTATAAGAAAGTCTCAAATGTTTACAAATTATTATCATTCATTGTTAAGTAGTTTACGAAAAATATGTCAGTGTCTAGAAAAGAGAAGTTTAGTTCGATTTTTATTAAAAAATTACTTTGGAACGATTGCTAAATTAACAGTATTTTTTTCAAAGGTGATTAAAAAATAATTGTGTTCTTTACAAAATGAATGTAGTTTCAACACAACAAGTAAAATGATCTAAACAATAATAGCTAGACAATCACTTCATAATCATATTCATAACTATGTCAACGAAGTTCACACTTCATTTTTCTCGAATATAGCTATCTCAATTGTCTAGTGAGGACAAAAAACTATACTCGTTTTTATTGTTTACGATGGACAGCAATATTTGTAGTAAAATAATCGTTTGATACGAACTCTACTTATAAACGCAGTTCTGTTCATCTAAAAAAATTTTAATATTTACTGATTAAACGACTTTAATTTTAATACGAAAACTGAAACGACGAAGGATTATATTATCACACCTAGATCTTCACATATACCGTCGAAAACAGCTAATCATCAGTACCAACAGTGGACAATTGTATACAATAATATGCTTATCAACGCTCTTCTTTTCGTTTCAATTATCTCGAAACGTGACAAAAAAGTCCATAGTCAAGATAATGTTTTTTGCAGCACTTTCTGTAAATGATTTAAACATCATGTTGAAAATTTGAAAACGAATGGTATCGATTCGATCTTTATTGAATTCTTAAAAATCATCATTCAAATTAGTAAGACTACAATAGAGTACTCAAATCAAATGATACTATGAGAATGTACTGAACTGATCATTATTAAATTCTCCACCGATTATAGAAAAACTATTTTCTATGTTTACCTGCTAATATCATGTAAAATTTGTTTAATTGGTTTTTTAGCTGTATTTGGTACGTATGTAAGGCAACATCCACTAACTGGTGATATAAGTATACATGAATAATCTTCTAATATAACTGTAACACGTGCAATTTTTTGTATATCCGTAAATAATTTCAATGCAAGAACTTTTGATTTTGTCATAGAAAATAATAAAGTATGTAAATTTAATTTAAAAATAACTATATTCTGTAAAGTACGATAATAAAATAAATCTTCATGAATAATATCAATTTGAAATATTTCTTCATATGTATTATATTGATAAATATGTTGAAGAGTTTCTATTAAAAAAAATCAAAAACTCTGTTTTTTAGTTTATTCATTTTTACCTAAATTCCAAATATTAATTCTATGATCAAGTGATGATGAGAGAAGTATATTTTGATTATTTTTTAAATCTGTTATCATTTTCCAATGATATTGATAACGACGTATTTGTTTCATTTGATTTAATTGATAAATTAAAACAAACCCATCGATAAAAGCAAATATAATATAATCATATTTTGAAATATAATGACAACGAATAAAATCATATCGATATGGATTACAAAATTTTAATAATAATTTTTCAGTTGGTACATATTGCCATAAAATAAAATATCGATTTGATAAAATTCCAATAGAACGATATGTTCCTATTTGACAAATATGTATAATTGGTTCAGTTGAATGAAATGGTAATTGAGTAAGTTCAGAAATAAGTAATGGTTGAGAAATAAATTGAAGTGGTTGAGTATTGTATAAGAAAACTCGACCCATGCAACCTGATTTAATATGATAGTTTGAAAGACAAAAAAAAAGAATATTTCATTTATCTTACCAATGAAAAGCATTGATACTTCATGAATATAAAGGATACTGTAAATATTATCAGATATTTCTTGTTTTGATAAGAATATACTTTTACGTGATGCATCACCAATTAGTATCATTAATGATTTTTGTTTTTTTATATTCATAAAACCAAGTATAAGACGAAAAATAGGTATACAAATCATAAAATTAAATTGAAAAGGACAATCAAATTCAACTGTACAACTATCATTCAATAGTTTTTTATTCATTGAATATACAAGAAGTTTACTATTGTTTTTTTGATCAATAGCAATATCTAAAATCAACGAATAATAATATATATTTTTAGTTACATGTCAATTGTTCATATACTAGGTGATTGAACTGTTGTATTACACATAATAATATATCCTTGTTCAATATCATAGAAATCTATACATTGATATTGGTGAGAAGAATCAAGTAGAAATTGTTTTAGAATTGAAAGACCAAATATAATCTTTCTCTCTTCTGTATTTTCTTTTTCTTCGAATAATTTTCCTAAATAATTCGAGTTATCAGTACTATTGGTTGTCTTTTTTAATGATGAATCAACTGCCATCGATATATCATTATGTAAATTAGGAGTTTTATTTTGAATCTATTTGAAAGATAAAAAAAACAAGATGAGAATGAATTAAAAAATAGAAATACTTTATAGAGATGAATAGCAATGAGAATACGGGCACGTTGCCAAAGTTCAATGGGTGATCGAGTAACATTAATTGTTGGATCACTTGAACGTATTGAAGATATATAACGACTACGTCGTGTAATTTGATCATCAAAATCATCATCAAAGTCATTCATTAATTCTTCTTCTAATTCTTGATCGAGATTACAAAAACCTCCTGGAATATATTCTTCTCCAGAAAGCTTTGAAAAACAAAAGTTTATGGTAATAAAACAATATATTTTGAAATAACTTACGAGATCATTTAAATTTTGTGTAGTAGTATTCGTTTGATCAGAATTAGTAACAGTATTTTGTAAATGTGGATTAGTAGCTATCTCTTTCTCTCGTTGATCATTCGATAATCGAAAATTTAAATTTGATGTATGAATGGGTCGATTTGAAATTAGATTATCATCAAATGTTACGGTTCGACGAGTAGATTGATCCATTGATGTCAAATTAGTATTGATTCGTATAAAACTATTGTCTTTATGAATAATTGAACTCGATGGAAATGAATTGTCTTCAAGAAGAATATGAGTTTCAGCTACTTCTGTTGATGGATCAATATTTTTTCTTATAATCTCTGTTTTATTAGAAGATACTTTGACACTTGATTGTGCCGGTATTGTTTGTTGGAGTTCTATCTTATCATTACTATTCATTAGTGAAATGTGACTCACACCATTTGTTAGATAGATCGTATTTAATGACTCATTTAATTAAAAACAATTTCTTTAAAACTTATCACGATTGTTTTAAAGAAATATAATATCATTATTTTTTGGAATTTAAAATCAAATAAGTTTTTCACATAAGAAATGTACATTAGATAAACGAAGATTGTATGAACTAGTCAGTAATCTAGTATAGCATGTCTTATATTAAATGTAGAAAGAGTGATAACTTAAAAAAATAATTTTATTCTATATATAATAAAGATTGCTATATTTTTGTATACTTGTGTGATTTTAGTCAAATAACAAGAATATTTTCTTATATGAAAGAAACCAAATGTTGTCATATACGCACGAAAAATGACAATGGGCCAGATGATATCATTCTGTATAAAGTTATATTTAACAATGTCAAATTTTCTAAATATATCATACATTATAGAAAAACAAAACTTTGCAACTATATATAAAATTCAGAGTTGTAACGAATATTTGGCTAGCTGATGTAGGTTTATTAATACTAATTTATAGAAGCTTTTTCATGCAGCATTAAGAGATAATACAAATTCTATATTTTTATGCAATCTATTGCTTACACATAAATTCCTCGAGTAAAAACAGAACTCCTACACGATTGTGTAATGAATCATTGAAGGAATGATTTGATTAAACAATATGACATTGACGTAGGTGATTCAGACAAAGAAAAACTAATCGAGATAAAAAAGATGCATCAGCTGAAATAAATTATTCGTATTCCAGAACAAGCCGCATACCCTTTTTTGCCTATAAGTACATAGTCCGTGTCATATTGATCGACAACATCTGCTTTAAGTGCAAAATATTTCATCAAAAAAAAAAGAGGGTAACCATTGATCTTTCCTTTTCAAATAGTTTATTTTTATCATAATTTAGAATTAAATATAAAAAAAACACTGAATAGAATGCCTAGTTAAAGATTATGACTACGATTAATGAGTCGATTAATTATTAAATTAAAATATTTGTTATCTATTTGTACTTGCATAGTTGAAAGTGAAACAGATGTGACACTGTTCTTGATGTTCTTTTCTTCAATACTAAGTAATCACGCTGGCAACGAATGGAAAATCTATGATTTAATTTTTTTTCTTTCTTATTTAAAATTATTCTATATTAGAATCATCGTGATCAAAACTTTTTACTCCTCCTTTTTTTCTGTATTAAACTATAAGAACAAAGTGATTCATAGTCTGTTTTTTATTTCTCTCTCATCAAGGCCCGCATATATATATATATATATAAGTGTAAAAAAACTACATTCATTCTAAGATTGGTAAGTTACAAAGCATATGTAAACAATGTTTCATACATCGTCTGCCTCAAATTCATTAAATTTACCATCACCACATTTACAAAATGCTTTAAATCATCATTTATATATAACAATAACCAATGATTCATCATTATCTGTTCTGTGTTATGATACAGTTCTATGTTATTTATCAAATGTTATTGATCATGGATCTATCAATGAAATTGAGTGCAATTTAAAACGTTATTTTACATGTGAACAATTAGAACAAGCGTATTATAATCTACAAAATTCTCTTCATTATTCTCTTTCAATATTAAATTCTAATATTGATAATCATATTATAGAAATTTTTGAACAATGTATAAATAATTTAATTAATTCTTCATGTTTATTATTAACTATTGAAACAATTTATTCAAAGAAATTATTTTCATACTTACCAATATTTGTTACAAATGATTGGATTAATATGATACGTAATATACAAGATCTTGAAAAAATAGATGTACCATCCTCATCATCACCAACAACATCAACAGTTAATCATTTACAAGAACAAATGATAACTTTAAAAGAAAATCTTTCTTCATTAAATCAATTAGTTGATAATATTAAAAATCTTCCATCATCAACATCATTACCAATTGATTCATCAACAATAACTGATCAATGTTGTCTACGTACATATTGTCAACATACATCAAATCAACGTTTAACATCGCTGATTGATACACCATCATCATCTTGGTCATCATTAGATTTCGAAAAAAGTTCAATTACAACATTTAATCGACAAATTCCAGGTTTTATTCGTAATCCAGTATCAAATTTTTTAATGCCAACAATACCAACAATGAATGAAAATATATCATCATCAATGGTATCAATGGATGATAATACAAGTAGTGATGATGAACAATTAATAACATCACAAACTGGTTCAATTGTTGTTATACGAGATGATGATTTATGGATTTATCCAGTAGGTGTTGATGTAAAAAAATCGAAATCAAAATTTCAAGAATATAATCGTTCACAATCATTATTTGATTCAATGAATGAAATAAATAATCTATCTAATCGAAGAAAAAGTTTTGATGATGAAGATCTTACACGACATAATCAAGAAAAAGTTCAAACACAATTTAAAAAACATAAGAAAGGAAAAGGTATGAGAAAAATATTTATTAAGAATACCAATATAACGTTGTTTTTATTTAGTTTCAGTAGAAGAAACACCTTGGTTTCCACGTCGAATTGCTGATCTAGATCGATGTTCAGTAAAAGTTCTTCTATATGGTGCTGATCTTGATGCAGATCATCCAGTATGAATAATAGTTTATTATAATTTTATAAATTCATATTAAATTTCTTTTTAGGGTTTTACTGATCAAGCTTATCGTGCACGTCGAATGTATTTTCATGATTTAGCTATTGAATATAAACAGTAAGCAGACATTTAAATAGTAAACATTAGTTATATCATATTTTAATTTCATTATATTATTTAGTGGAGACCCAATTCCACGTGTTGAATATACGCAAGAAGAAACAGAAACATGGGGTGTCGTATTTCGAAATTTAAATAAATTATATCCAACACATGCATGTAATGAATATTTGGCTAATTGGCCCTTATTAAGAGAAAAATGTGGTTTTAGGTAAAATAAAATTTCTATTATTGTATTTCACGTTATTCTTTTTTTCGTGTATTTAGAGAAGATAATATTCCACAATTAGAAGATATATCACGTTTTCTTCGAGAACGAACTGGTTTTAGATTACGTCCTGTTGCAGGTTATCTATCACCAAGAGATTTTTTATATGGTTTAGCATTTCGAGTTTTTCATTGTACACAATACATACGACATTCATCAAACCCATCATATACTCCTGAGCCGTAAGTTTTTTTTCTCATCGACTTTTATGTTTGTAAAATTATGAATTTAATTTCAGTGATTGTTGTCATGAATTACTCGGTCATATTCCACTATTAGCAGATCCAAATTTTGCACAATTTTCACACGAAATTGGTCTTGCTGCTATTGGTGCATCAGAAGAAGATATTAATCGATTAGCAACAGTAAGGAATACTATCGTCATACGTTTTATATCTAATAATATTAATTTTAGTGTTATTTTTTTACAATTGAATTTGGTCTATGTCGTCAAAATGAGGGTCTTCGTGCATATGGTGCTGGTTTACTTTCGTCATGTTCGGAATTACAACATGCAATAAGTGATAAAGCGAAAAAATTATCATTTGATCCTGAAATTGTCTGTAAAACAACATGTTTAATAACAACTTATCAAGATCAATATTTTGTTTCGGCTAGTTTTGTTGAAGCAAAAGAAAAAATGAGGTAAAAAAAACAATTTTTAATATTATTTCAAAATAATTTCTGTTTTTTAAGAGAATTTGCTTCTACAATTAAACGTCCATTTGCTGTTCGTTATAATCCATATAATCAAAATATTGAAATTATTTCAAATACACAACATGTTACACAAATAATATCTGATCTTAAAGGTGATATATGTATTATATTTGATGCATTAAAAAAACTTCAAAGTGGTATTACAACTAATATGAAATAACATTTTTTTTTGCGTTGTCTTGTACTTCTTATTGATTACTTTAGACGAATAAATATGATGTTCTAAGTATCAAATGAAATTTGTTCATCATTTTGAGTAAGGAAACCAGTTGGTTTAGAATATGGATTTAACCATGTTAAACCAATTTGTGCACCAAAAACAATTTTTAATGACGAAAGAAATGAATTCCGTTTTAAATTAGATTTTGATCTTCCACGAAAAAATTCAACTCCCTAAAATACATAATCAATCAGAGTTTTTGTATAATTATCAAAATTTACAGTCGTATCAGTATAAATGCACACGAATTGTATACCAGTCATAATAGCAGTAAATATTGAAAAACAAAATGCTTCTAATGCAAGAATTATAGTAAAGAATAGTGTAACCGGTGGTGACCAAGCAGGACATGCTGTTACATAAAAAATAAGATAAATACATATATAATCAAGATAGTAACTAACCAGTCCAGTTTGATGTGATACAAGTAGTCAGATGAAAATATAGAAAAATCAATGCATAGATTGATACAACACATGTATAAAACTAAAATAATAGATTTTTTTAATATTTAACATGAGTTAACAATTGAAATTGAGATATCTAATTCTTAATGCTTCAGGAGACTAAATATGTCCTTGTTTATAATTAAATGTTGCTTTTTTGCCCTTTAGCAGTTCGGATTTCCTCTATAATAATCATACCAATAATACTATTATTGTCTAATTAGAGATCTCTTCTTCATTTAATGACAAACCAAAAACTCCTCCGACTTCTATATATACTTTTTTTGATAAACACTAGTTGTCTGTACAAATTACAACATAAGTTTCATTCATACATGAACTCATTCATTTGTTAACAATGGAGAAAACCTGAAGATTTTATCTCACAGGAATTATAAAATATGCATATATTAATAGAATATAAAACTTTTATTTCACACTTATATTACGGACATAAAGACATATTAAATTAGACTATTATCTTTGAATAAAATCATGACTTTAGTATTTATATTGAATAAAAATAGAAACTATTCTTACCGTAAATAAAATAAAATATTTTTGATTATTTTGTCCAACACAATTATTAACAAATATACAATGATGATCCATTCGTTTTATACATCGTTTACAGACTCTATTTTAAATAAATAATTAGAATAGTACAAGATACTTTTGAATTTAATTAAGAATAGCCAATCGAAATATCTAATTTAATAATAACGTTCAGGTTTAGGATTACGAATAACTAGCAGAACAACAGTTAACGCTAGAAGCATTAAACTCACATGTATGTTTTATAAAATTGTTTTTATATCATGACCATAATATAGTCAAATTTAAGAATTTCTTATTTAATTAGAAGAATGGAAAATCTTAGTACCTACAATGATGCGTTCTTGGTGGTTTTACACTTTGACATGCAGTACATCTATAAATAATGGTATTATTTTCATACTTATGTAACTTTTCCGATGTTGCATTATTCAATGGTATAGCACCCTTGAAATTCGAAAACAATAAAATAAATAAGATTATTTAATTACATACCGGATTCGAAAACATTGCCCGACAATATGAAGATAAAGCAAGAAATGCAAGAAAATGCATCGAAAATAAATTAATAAAATTCAATAATGAATAAGTTTTTGACATATAAATAATAATAACAACAACAAATTGTCCATATAAAAATAGAGACCAAGTTACAAAACAACATATTATACCAAAAGCATCTTTAACACACCAATTCGATATAGTAGGACAACATGAACAAGTATATGAACACTTCTTATCACTACCATCAGCTATTGAACGTGGAACTACATCTTGCACAATCGGACATATTTTTGGCGATGATTTAGATTTCTTATTTGCTGAAAAAGATTTTTTTAACAACATTTAAACTGTATGAATTATATCTTGTCAAAATTTTCTTTCATTTTACATGACAATATTAATAGTGACATCGTTATTGAATTTATATAATATATTATACAATCTATATTGGAGGTTAGTTGCTTAGTAACGACCAAAATCATGGTTGATTATAGTAAATGACTCATATCTGACTATCTTTCAACCAGATGACATGTTGGCTTGAGCACAAATTTTACTTTGATTATAAATCCGAGAAGTAAGTTTTATCGTTTTTTGTTTTTGAAAGTATCTCTTTTTTTTTTATTTTCTCCTCTTGTAACTTTGTTGACTGTCTATTTCCACAGACAGGATTCCTTTTTTTTCTTTATTCCTTTTTTTCTCTTCTTTTTCTCTTTTGATTAATTCTCTTCTTTTACAATATATATATATATATTCTTCTCCAGATGGTTAATAAAAAAAAGAAAAATAAGAGTAGACGAAAGAAAAAGTCGGAGAAAGACAGAGAACATCGTTTTTCCATTCTATCTTCATATATCGTCTGACAGTGACAAGAATACTTGTAGAAATACAAAAAAGAGAAAAAAAAACAACAACAGATATAGAAGAAGACGAAGAATGAAAAGACTAGTAAAATGGTAGGAAATTTAGTTCATCAGTTAGAATTATTTAAAATTTATATTTTCAATATTGACTTTATTTAATTATTTAAACATCGATCAAAAATTACGATTTTTCTTCGTATATATTCCTATCTTTAATTTATAAGATAGAAGTATATTTTTTGATTGTATAATAATCATTCATTATATTTTTGAACGATAAAAATATGTACTATCAATCAATATCACAAAAGAAATCGTTTTTTTATTTACACATGTAAAATACATCCTTTTATCTTGATTTTTTTTCTTCTTCTTCTTCTTTCATTAATGTTTACATAGTATGATTATAACATCTTTCTAACTCGTTGGCATCGGCAACAAACCGAAAAGAATATATAGTGATAAGAAACATAAAGAATACAATACTCACTCCTTTCTTTATTTTTTCATATGACTACTATCTCCTCTCATGATATACTTGAGTATTACAATTGATATTATTTTTGATGACCTACTGTGTGTTTTTTTTTTCATAGATTATATAATCCATTGATTCTTCTATTTACAGATCTATGTATATATATAAATTGATGTTATAATAACGATATTATACAACGATGAACAATCAACATATACCAGGACAGTAAGTTTACTTTTTGTGATTAGAAAATCTTCGAATATATAGAATTTTTTTTTTGTTTAGAATTTCAGATGATGATGAACAAAATTCTCTAACATCTTATCAAAAATTTGATAAAATTAGAATACATCAAAAAGTAATGAATAATTTGTTGAATTAATTTACTTTATAGTTTAATTTTCTTGTAGCAAGAAGCAATAAAACGTGGAACAGATTTACGAACTCGTCGGACACCTCATCGAACGGATACATCTGAACCGGATGATATAAAAGGTAAAATAAATTGCTAACAATTGTTCTCGTTTACACTTTAATGAGAACATTCATATTCTTCGAAGGATAATAGATAGATAGAAGAAAAAAAAGAGTTTTCCTTTTTCTTATTCTCGAAAGTATTAAGCGTGCCATTTTTTCTATTATTTCAGATTAGTTAGAGCAGTATCAAGATGAGTTCATCCTTTATCATAGTTTTTTCTTTCTGTTTCCTCTATTAATTATCTAGTCTTTTCAGTATTTTTCTCTTTTAAAGGTAAACAATAGCTTTTAATGTTAGTAATATTCTTATTTAAGGAGACAAACTAGTAGAATTTTTAGATTCAAATTTCTAATTTTGTTTTAATGATACCTTATTGTCGACTCATAGGATTCGATAATAGTTCATTTCACCCTGACGATGGTGAACCAACAATATATAATGGCAATAATCATCATTCAACAGCTTTTCCAACTTCTGAACCATTGCGCACCATTCGTATCACATCAAATGAGAAGGTGACGTCAGTAAGCTTTATTAATTAAAAACAAAGCTTTGTTTTGACAAATATATATATTTACATTATATTTCTAAAATATTAGAAAAACAGTCCAAACAGATCCCGTCCATCAACTGCAACATCTGCTCAATCTGTGTCACTAAATCGTTCAACAAAAACATTACAAGCAGTATCCGGTGTTACAACTACAGTTAGTGTTGATGATGATGATGATGATGGAGAAGAAATAAAATTAAATGGTATGTTTGAAAAAAAGAAAATAACAGTTTGGTTTTTATTGCTTTATATCCTTGATGTTGTTTTTCTCTTAATGCATGAATGCTATATAATTAAGAATGAAACGGTGTATTTTCTTTGTTCTTCAATGTATCTTCTATGTAAAATGTAATTTGAGACGGTGATGTGCGCTTCATAGGAGTGGCATAATACCCCCATGTTGTTCTTTGAGTTTATGAACATGCCGGGAAACTCATACAGAGTAAAATATGCCGTTTCATTTTTGCTCATTGTGCTATTAAAAAAAAAAGAAAAGCTTTCTCTTTCCTTAAGCTTGTTGCTTTTATTTATATATATTTTGTTTAATGTTGTGCACCCTACTTTTTAAAGAGCACAAATGCACGAAGAAGCATGATGATGATCACCTTCACTCTACTAAAAAATCTCGTCGTCGTGAACGTCGTAAATCCAATGGACAATCTGCATCCTTGAATAATAATCATCACCACGATGTATTATCTCATGTTGATAATGTTGTGTCAGAAAAATCTACACAACATTATCAAGAACATGAAATAGTTTCTAATGAATGTGTTGTATCTCCTTATAAATCAACTAAACCTAGAAATTCTCTTCATCATTATTCAGATTCTGATGGTGAAAGTGAACGAGTACCAGTTAAACCATGGTCACCAACTCCGAATAATTCTAATGGATCAGCAGCCTTACACTTTATAAATAATAATAATACCACCAATAATAGTGAATCAGAGTCTCCAACAGCTACATCACCACAATTAACATATGCCTTACGATCACTTTTTGAAATGATTACAGAAGATCTAGATAAATTTGTTTATACACCTGCACCAAATGGTCTCGGAGATATTCAATGTCGTATAACACGTGATAAACGTGGAATGGAAAAAGGTCTTTTTCCAACATATTATATGCATGTTGAAAGACCGGGTGATGGAAAAAAAGTAAAAAATAAATCAAAACAAAATATGTTTTCAATATATTCTTTTTTAATTGATTTAGTTTTTTATTCTTGCTGGACGTAAACGTCGACGTAGTACAACATCAAATTATTTGATATCAACAGATGCAACTGATTTATCACGCGATGGTGAAAGATTTATTGGAAAATTACGGTAAAATTTTTTTTTATTCATTCCTAAAAACAAAATATCTAATTAGAATTAAATTTCTAGAGCAAATATGTTAGGTACACATTTTACTGTATATGATCAAGGTTCAAATCCAAAAAGAAATATGTACGTTGATTTAAAATTAAAAAGAAATTTTTGAGAAAAATTTTATCTTTTGTAGTCCTGTGGAAGAACATCGTCGAGAACTAGCGGCAATTGTATATGTATGTAGAAATGATTATTATTGAATAAATAAATATTTCATTGAATTTTAAATTAGGAAACAAATATTTTGGGCTTTAAAGGACCACGTAAAATGACAATTATTATACCGGGTATGAGCAGTGATCATCATCGTGTTGAAGTTCGTCCAAGAAATGTAAGAAAATATAAATTCGAAATATTTTCATTCTACTTTCTTTTTTTTTAAGGAATCAGAAAGTTTAGTTGAACGATGGAAACATACGAATATGGATAATTTACTTGAATTACACAATAAAACACCAGTTTGGAATGAAGGTATAAATTAATATTTAATTTATATTTTTTGCTCAAATTCTGTTATCGTTTAGAAACTCAGTCTTATGTATTAAATTTTCATGGACGTGTAACACAAGCATCAGTTAAAAATTTTCAAGTTGTACATGAAGATGATCGTAAGTAATGAAAAACTTGAAAACTAAATCATAGGAGAAAAAATTTCAATTCATATATTATTTTATAGTAAATCCATTTAGTAAGCTGATGAGTGTAACTAATTATTTATTAATATATTTATATATGTTAACATATGTTTTTTTTTCTCTAAAAAAAATTCATTATTTTTTTCATAATATATTTTCATTCGAAAGGATTCATTTATTCATAAAATCTGTTTTTGTTTATTTTGTAGAAGACTATGTATGTATGCAATTCGGTCGTGTGAGTGATGGTAGGTTTTATTTATTTGATATTTTTTTTCTTCTTTTGTTAGTTTTCAAACAAAGAATGCTTATAGAGTAGAGATAAAAAAAACACAAAAGAATGTTTCGTGTATAACTATAGAGATTAATATCAATGATCAAATTACATTGTTAAGAATCTGTAGCAAAGCAGAGAGATTTTATGATTATATATCATTCAATAAATTTCTTTGTTTTGAAGTGCCTAAAGGGTTATAAAAAAAAAGAAGGAAAATATTCAATTTTTAAGAGGATTGATAATTTTGAATTAATAGTAGGGGCGTAACTAGAGAAAAAGTCCTGGGGGCTGAAGCGATTTTCAAACAAAGATAAACCATTCGTGGAGGAGGATGGTTGAGCTCCCATTGAGTTACGCGCCTGATTAATAGCAACATTTTTTTAACACCCTCAATATAATATTCATATATTATTTTAGATGTGTTTACATGCGATTTCAAATATCCATTATGTGCTGTTCAAGCCTTTGGTATTGCCTTATCTTCGTTTGATGGAAAACTCGCTTGCGAGTGATTATCTCTATTAGTCTTTTCATTCCGTCCTTTTGTTTTCATTTTTCGCAAATTGTACGCATTGTTCGTCTTTATTTATTTTCATTCTTGTTTTTTTTTCTGTTTGCCTTAATTGATTAGTATTCATTTTCCAATTAACAAAAAAACGATTGGTTTCTTTCTTTTTTTTAACTTGTTCAATATATTCTCTATATATGTCTGTATATGTATACATGTGCGTGTTTATTTACACGATGGGAAATCCGAATAAAAACTAACGAATTCTTCGATGAAATTTTTATTGAATATATATATATAAATTGTAATTTTTTCATTTGATAGAATTTATATATTTAAAGAAATAAATAAATAAAAATAATCGATTGTAAAACAAAAGAAAAAAACTAAATATTGATCTATTTGATATCCAGATGTGAATGTTTTTTCTTGTTACATAGACAATGATAAAGCTTTTTTGCTCTTAGTTACTGTTGACTCAAAATATGACATTATTTTCTATTTTTACAAAATTCTATTAAAGCTTATCAGTAAATGTTGTTTTTCTGACATAAATACATTTTTTTTCTCCTTTTATCTGCCTAGTCCACTAAACTGATTACTCATGCATTCCTATCATCTCCACAGACAAGCAAGAGAAACATTAGGTTTTATTAAAGCATCGAACAAAGTTATATCAGTCACTTTTTTTTCTATTCCTACCTTGAATTAATAATCCAACAATGGCAGGCACGTGCACAAAAATCTTATTGATTTTCCTCAGTTTAATTCTACCACCTCTTGCTGTATGGATAGCAAGAGATAAAATGTGCAGTGGTACTGTAGCTCTTAATATTCTTCTTACAATACTTGGAGTTGTAAGTTTCTATATAAACTAATTTTTTAATTATACAATTTCTTTTTCCAAGGTTCCTGGAACTATTCATGCATGGTTTGTTATTTGTTGCTGTAATGACCTTTAATGCGGATATAGTTTTAAAATACAGTTTCTTTTTATTATTATGAAAATAAATATCATTTAATGTCGTGCTCGAATCATCATATATATATGTATGACAATTGTCATGCTTTATTTATTAATGAAAAACAAAAAAATTGTTACTAACTTACTATATATATACATATACTTAAAGTAAAAATATGCGAGAATAAAAATATGAATAATTTATTGAGCTAGTTTTGATCGACTACGTGATCGATGTAATGGATGTAGGAGTCTTATTTGACGTATTGATTTTTCATTATCGTTTGAACGCATTCGTTCTTCTTTGATTTTTTTAAAATCAGTTAAAATTTGTTTACATACATCAATTGAAAAACCAGATATATCTGAAGCTTTTTCTTCGGGTGATTTAGTAATGGTTTCATCTTTTACTTGTGTTGAAGATTTTCCTTTGGATAGAATTGAATGCGGATTTCTTTCCGTTGTTTGCTGAGTAGTTTTGATCGGAAGATGATTATTATTTGTTTGCGATTTGGCAACATTTTTATGTGGAGATGTGGTAGCAGATGATGAACCTCTAAAAGAAGTACTACTTGCACGATTATGATTAGGAGGTTTTCCAACGACAGTAGCAAGACCGTAATGAACACTTTGTTTAACTTTTTTCTCTATCTGTGCCTTTTGAATTTGTTCTTCTTTTGTTGGTTTTTCAATTTTACCATATAATGCTAACTCATTTTTAAAAGAATGTCCAACATTTATCGTTTCGTTTTTCGAATTATTTTGTGTATCATCAGTTGATTTTCTTTCTGAAGAATGTGCACTTCTTGATCGTTTGATACGATGAACTGAATTTGTTATTTTTGTTACTGCTCGTTTAAAATTACGTGTAAATACTTGAAAAGTACCGTCATGCATTAATGTACTCCAGCCATACGTTGAATGTGAAGATAATTCAGATTCTTGAATAAGTTCAGCAGCAACAAGTACTTGAGCAACTGGACGTGATATTTGTAAATCATATTTGATTAATCGAAAACATGCTGCAAATGTTGGCTCAAGATCACTTCGCATTTTATGTAATGGTAAATGAGCATGAAACGACTGAACAGCAACTTCACAACCATTTTCATTTTGAAAATTAGTACTTATCTTTAATGCAGCAGCTTGTACTTTAGGATCATGTACAAATTCAAATGCAGCAGCTAATTGTTTTGCTGTTACTGTTTTACCTGGTAGTGGTGCTGGACCAGCACCACTTTTACTAACCATTGATCCCCAAAAAAATTGATCACCAAAAAATGGAACTATGATAGTAGGCTTGCCAGCACGAAGACCAGCCGCTGTTGTACCAGCACCACCATGATGACATACAGCGACGACTACAAAAAAATATGAAGAGTTTTTATAAACTAAAATAAAATAAAACAAAAGAAAAAGATTTACCATGTTGAAAGAGCCAATCATGTGGACAATTATTAATTTTTAAAATATTATCAGATAATTCATCAGAATCTGTTTCAAAACCAGAAAGTAAAGCTCGATATCCAGTTGTTTTTAAAGCTTCTAATACGACTTCTAAAATTCTATCCGAGTCATGACCTGTAATTGAACCAAAACCAATATAAATTGGTGGATCACCTGATTTAAGAAATTGAAGAATATCTTTAGGTGGTTTATAATCTGTTGCAAGATTAAGAAAGAAAAATCCAGATACATCGATATGTGCAGGCCAATCAGCTGGTTTCGGAACAAACGATGGAGACCAACAATATGTATGTGGTACATGTTCATCTATCATTAACCGAACTGCTTGACGTATATGTAACGGTGGTAGACCAAGTGGTTCTTTACGAAACTCATTCACGATATTACGCATACCGGACCATGTCTAAATACATCAAAATAAAGATATTTTTGAATCGTAATTGTTCTCTCATTAAATTCTAATTAATTAGATATCTATTGAAAAACTAAATTTCAATATCGATCTCTATACTAGCATTGAAAATATGCGACTATGGAAAAAAATTTA